GGGAATAAAGGGAGAGTGTGACTCGTGTGACTGGGAGCAGGGCAGACTGTTGGTTTTGAGTGCAAGGGGGGGGGAGGGGATCTAAATCCTACTTCTGTACACAAATATTAGTCTGTTGGGAGTGGATTGGTAAGATAGGGAATATATATATGGGTTATGGAAGAAGAGGGGGGGAGGAGGGCATGTTAAATACATTATAGGAGTATTAGCAAATTGTAATAGATGTTATTTATTTACATAAATATGAGCTATTTACATCAGAACAGTTCGATAGAAAAATCCATCAAAGTACTAAACTGAAGATTTTAAAATTTGTTATTGTTTTAAACTATTGAATTAATTGAGAGTCCAAAAAGAACTAAAACACATTTGTTTAATTTATATTTAACAAATTGCATAATTATGTAGTAAATGGCGCACTCTTAAAACTTCGTTCGGAACTGTATCAATTCAGGCATGATTTCATTTGATATATTTCAACGAGGACCAGCTATCAATGTCAACACCGACACAAGCTTAGGTACGTTTAGATTTACAGACAATGTACGTCGTAGTATATCTAGGTATCTTTAGGTTAACAAATATGGGGATTTCTGTATTTATTACAATCATATATTTGTATTGGCCATTTTGAATAAAATACTTTGTAAGTTAAATTTTTAGAATAGGATAGTTTCCATAAAATTGAGATGGCTAGGGCCGGAGGACTGTGATACTATTAGTTTAAAAGATTTGTTAGTTTTAAGAACTGTTGTAATAAATATTGGGTAAACATGATATTCTGTAAACCTGAAGTACGTTGTACATTATCAATTATCTATGTTTGTAAACTTTTATGTAAAACCCATTATTCATTCATGTGTTTAAAGTGAATATGTAGCATGATTAGCTTAAAACATGTGATACATATAATGCCGTACATCCTAATAACGCCGATTTTAAAAGTGCTTTAAAACCTAACATGATTATCTTAATCATGTTATCTTAACTTGTAACATATTATCAGAAAATACACTAGTTGATACAGAAACTCCGCTTTGGTTACAGTGTTAAGAGTAATTTGGTTTTTTTGAAACATACGAATTGAGATTGTTGCCTTGAGTTTTGGCTTGAACTATTGATTGCTATTGTCGAGTTGACATAGCTCACAAGATTGCGCCCAGTGATAGTGGCGTTGATAGTTCATGGGATTGTAGCCGTGTGGATCGTGTCCTGTTTGAGACATTGATCAATTGATTGCTATTGTCTGGTTGACATAGCCTACGAGATCACGCCCAGTGGTAGCGGCGTTGATAGTTCATGGGATTGTAACCGTGTGGATCGTGTCCTGTTTGAGACATTGATCAATTGATTGCTATTGTCTGGTTGAAATAGCCTACGAGATCACGCCCAGTGGTAGCGGCGTTGATAGTTCACGGGATTGTAGCCGTGTGTTGTACCTAGAGAGATAAGTGTTCGAAAAATTGTCATGGAGTAGGCGTTTACTGCACTGTTGTATGAAGTTGATAAGCTGCAAACTTTTTGTTTTGTAAACAAACTCTGGTTAATCAGGCTCAAGGGATATATTATTATTATTCCATTTGCACTGTTGTGTGTATAGAGTGAA